GATGTAGAGCATTAGCCAATTCAATCTTCATTGTCTTGTTTATATAACACTGAAATTGTTGAACGTTGGAGCAATAATCTTGATTCAATGCCAATAACAAACTTTCCTTATTAAGCAGATCTTGTCTGGAATGATGCCGTTGGTAATAACTCGCCTTGAATGCACAGTACGTTGCTACTTAAAGCGTGTTCTGGCTTTGGCTCATTCTGACTCTGCTTAAGTGCTGATGAACTGTTTTTGTCTTTATCAGAGTGTTGAGCGCAGTTCTGTTCATCAAGCTTCAGCATTCGCGTGAGTTGTTCTTCTGATTCTGGTATTCTGATATAGCATCTTCTGATGCTGATGTTGATATCCAATATTCTGATGCTGATTACGATGCACTCTTGCTGATACCTATCAGAGTTTCTGTAAACCAGAAAGGTAATTTTTAGGTAGCAAATAGTTCTTACATGAATCACATAATTAATATATCATTTCATTTTGTTATCATCAAAACTTAAACTTAGGGTAGTAGATTCAAACTTTGTTCTAACAATGTCGTCCATGTATACCTCGAGCATATCCCCGATCTCATTACGAAAGACTTTATTCATCATCTGCTGGTATGTTGCTCCTGCGTTTTTCAGACCAAAGGGCATTACATTATAGTAGTAATTGCCCGAGTTGGTCATGAAAGCAGTGCAATGCTTGTCGCTCATCACCATCAGGATTTGGTTGTAGCCCGAGTAGGCATCCATAAATGATAAAATTTTATAGACGACCAAATTTTCGACCAGCATGTCAAATTAGGTAAAGGAAAAGCGTCTTTGGGACATGCCCAATTAAGATCAATATAGTTAACACACATTCTCCATTTTCCATTATTTTTCTTAACAAGTACAACATTTGAGAGCCAGGTTGAATACCGGGCCTCAAAAATAAAATTAGCCTCTAAGAGGTCTTTTACAGCATTTTCATTAGCCTCCGCTTTCTCGGGAGACTGCCTACGTCTATGTTGTACTATTACCCTAGTGACTGGATCAATGGCCAGGTGGTGACAGGCGACCTCGGGGTCGAGTCCGGACATCTCCGAGGCACTCCACGCGAACAGGTTTGCATTCTCCCTCAAGTAAGCTTTGATCTTCTTCCTCTCCAGGTTGGGGAGTCCGGTGCCAATCTTCACGCCTTTGTGAGGGTCTTCACCGAGGGGGACAAACTCGAAGTCTCCGTTCAGGATTGGTCGGTGGAGTTCCTGTTCGCTGTTGGATGCTTCATCCTTGTCGAAGCGGGTGTCCAGCGAGATGGAGTCAACCTTGGGTGGAGCTCTTTGTTCTTCTGTCTTGACGGGCAGTGGCTCAGGTCGAGCAGTAACAACTCTCTTAGCAGGTCGGGCCCCGGTGTCGACCGTACTCTGTCCCTTTGAAGCTGCATTGAAACATCTTCGGGAAGCTGAGATGTCATTGTGGATGGTAGTGACGTGTCCCTCCTCGTGTAGAATTTCATCTTTAGATGGAGGGTGGAGGGGACATCGGTCAATTCGGCCAGCGTTGGTCTCCCTAGGACGCAGTTGTAGAGAGACGGGAAGTCAATGACCAAAAATCGCACCTTAACCTGCCGGGCGGCGGTTTCTTCCCCAAAGGTGACGAAGAGCTCCACATACCCCCCATGGTTTGGAGGTCGAGCCATTGAAGCCCTGCAGGTCGGACCCCCACATATAGTGAAAGGTGGGTGTCGTCGAGCTGTAGGGTTCAGAAGAGATGGTTGTACATAACATCGACATAACTCCCTTCTCGACCAAGACGCGATGAACATTGAAATTAGCCATCCTTTCCCTTACCAGAAGAGGGATTCTCTAGTTAGGCCCCCCTTCGGGCAACTCTTTGAGGTAGAATATGATCGATTCTGATATGCCCTTGACCTTCTCGAACGTCACCGCTTGAGTCGGGGTTGCATCGACCAGCTCGTCGAGCTTTCTCTTAGCGGAGTTTATGGAAATGTCGTTGAACCCCCCGCCAGTTATAACCATGGCGGAAGGGAATTTTTCCCACCTACTGTGCATGGACAAAGGTTCTTCTTCATGTTTGTCGGGGACGTAGAAGTCCTCCGACCTTGTAACGGACAAGGCTATTTGGATGGGGGCCGTTTCATCCGATGGTCGGGTGTCTTCCTCGACCTCTCTTGTTTCACGGGCATCTCGACGAGGGGCCTCATTGCAGCGATATTGTCCGATCCTTCCACCCTTGATAAGGGTTCAATGACGTCTTTGAGATGGATGCAGTCTTCAGTCAGATGCCCGTGTCTTCGGTGGTACTGACAGTAATTGCTCCTGTCAGCCCAGGGCTTTGCAGGGGTAGAGCGAGGACATTTGACGCCGCCGTCCTTGAAGTCGGTATTATCACACTCCACCAAGATGCACTCATGGGAATCTGTTAGCAGAGTGTATTCGGTGAATCGGCCTGCGGCCCCTTGTGCTTGCAGTGATCTCGTGGTTTGTCATCCCTCTTCTTCTCGCTCGTTCGTCGAGGAGGGGCTGCATCCTGATGTCACGGGGCGTTGGTTGGTCTGCAGTTACTTGGGTCGCGGGATTTGTTGGCCACTTTTCTCTCCTCATAGTCCATGTATGCCCTAGCCTTTTCGAGGAGAGCATTGAATGTTCGGGGTGGTTCGATGCCAACGGCCTTCCTGAACTCCATGTCCGGGAGGAGTCCCCTCTTGAGCAGATACCGTTTCATGTGATCGGTACAGGGGACTTGGATGGCCTCGCGATTGAACCGATCTATGAACTCCCCGAGGGTCTCGTCACTTCTTTGGACGATAGCTTAGAGGGCAGCCTCAGTCTTCGGGTGTCGACGAGACGCTGTAAAGGAGCTGATGAACTGGTTTTTCGAGTTCCTCCAGGAGGTGATCGACCCTGGGGGGAGATTTTTATACCAGTCCATCGCAGTTTTCCTCAAGTTCGTGGGGAATAACCGACACTTGATTGGCCCCGCGATGTTATGATAATGAAGCATTGCTTCGAACCCGTCGATGTGGTCGACTAGGTCAGTAATTCCATCATACTCCTTCAGTTGGGGAGGTTTTTCCATGCCCCTGGGATTGGGTGCCTCCATGATTGACTGTGACAAGGGACCGCATGGGTCGTCTTCATCGCTTCTGTAGGGGGAATGGGAATGGGTTCAATTCTAGTGGCGGTCATAACGATGTTCTTGGCCTCAGGGAGGATCCCTTGGTCGAGGATGTGTTTCTATGTTACCCTTGTTTCTGTTTTCAGAGGAACGTTGTTCTCTGCCTGGGGGGATAAGGCCGCGTCTCCCGGTAGCCTCTGGCATGGTTCTCTCCAGCGCGGGACATCGACCAGTCCATCGGGGAGAGAGGCTCCGCGACCTCTCCCGTCTGTGTCTCCGTGGGAGAGATTGAAGACGGTCTTCATCCTGACGAGGAAGCGGAGTGTTAGGTTTTTTATATCTTTTGGGGGCTCGACGAGAGTCTTCGAGCGCCCTTAATCACTCGCCTTATGAGAAGATCATGTAATTCGTCTAGTTTATGGATGCGAACAGGGCCCTTGTCATGGCATCAACGCCCGGAGAGACAGGGACCTCCTAGAAAGCGTTCGACTCGTAGTTCTAGGGCAGATTGGCGCCCTCGTTTGGTCGAGAGCGTGACGAGGAAGAGGTAGTCATGCCGTCTCGGTAGTTCTGCATGAGACCGGCCATGTCGTCATCGTTTCTGTTGTTGTTGTTGCCCGTGGTGTCGACGACGTTGTTATTGGGATCGGCGGGACGAGCGTCTAAGATGTTGTTGGTAGCTGGGTCGGCCATGACAATCAAGAATTTAGAGTTGCTTTTGTCTTAGGTAAATGATGGCGGGGAAGCAAGATTCCCATAGACCGCGCCATTGATCGTACTTGATCAGAGTGATCGTCAAAGCCTTATGTCGAGCTGAGGTTGAAAGCGAGATGGGGGGTACCTGCAAGACACTCCGATGCCAAAGTAAGTTCAGGGACAGTGCAAGCAAGCGTGAGTATGAGTATGAGAATGAATACATGACTTTCTCAAATGAGAGGGTATTTATAGCCCCCAGCGCTGGGCCAAGGTCCGCATTGTTGGGCCACGATGAGGCCCAATAATGAAGACTGCTAGGGCTTACGTGTGTATGGAGTCCAACAACTGGACTTCCCCCTGGTCAACTGCTCCGTGAGAATAGATGTTGGACCCGTGATTTCTGAAGGGCAATTAAGGTGACAATGATGCGGACACGTGGGCCACGTTCCTCAACAGATGCGTGGGGAGTTGCCCAACGGTCCCTAACTTGACTTGCTTGCCTTTAGACCTTATACAAAGGTGTTGGATTGAATCTCCTAACTGCTGGGCAAGTGCAGACCAAGTCTAGATCAATATCATATTTGATTAATTTGTTAAGGGTAATGCTAAATGCTAACGTGTGTTCTAGGACACATATTAATTTGATTTGAAAAAAAAATTATTTATAATTTTTTTATAAATATAATGCATAATTTTCAAAAGAAATATTATTATATACTTACGCGTTTCGCTGAAAGTTATACAAAGACATTAAATGTAAAAATATATATTCAAACTTACAACACTTTGTTTATTTATTTTTAAAGGATAAATTTCAGCCACTAGATTATTTAAAAAAAAATTTACAAATTAATTAAACAAGAGACATTTCTAAAAGACTAAAAAGAGAATTATTTATGGCTTTGGAGAAAAAAGAAAGGGCAATATTGTAAAGTCAAGTATTCTCGTACATGTACAACGTTAAAACATGCGAAAATTAGTTGTTTTTGAAGCGGCAACATAGGAAAGAAAACAACAATAAACATCCAAAAGAATCATTGTCACTGCGATTTCATTTTTGGTTCTCTGATTCCCATTATCGGGATCAGAGAATCAATCATCATTAAACAAATCCCCTGAAGTTTTTCCCTTTTTGCGTCAAAAAGTTGGCAAAAAACGCAATTTTGAATAATCAGAGTGCAATTTCTCAATTTCTTGAAAATGGGTACTCCTAAGAAGGAGGGGAAAATGGAAGGGTGGCTTTATCTATTTCGTTCTAGTCGGTTTGGTCAGCATTTCTCACGTAAAAGATACTTCATTCTCAAAGATAATGTTCTCACAAGTTTCAATATCAAACCCTCCTCTCAAACGGAGGTATGTTCATTCCCCTATCAATCCAAAAAGTTTCAATTTTTTCCATATTTAATCATTTGTTCACATCAATTTTAAGAATGTTTTTGATTTTTGCTTTTGGTGATGAATAATGATGTTGCTATGTTTGGTTATGATTAAGTTGGTTATTAATTGAGCAAGATGAATGAAAGGATTGTAATTTTCAGGAGCCAATTAGAAGTGCGATGATAGACTCGTTCATTCGGGTTACTGACAATGGAAGGGAGAGTATCAGCAAAAATGTAAGAGACATTGAATGACATTTGTTTCTTTGAGGAATTGATTGAATTGAGAATTTTGTTTGCATTGCACAGGTGTTCTTTATTTTCACTATATATAATGCTTCAAATCAAAGGGATAAGCTTAAGGTTTGTAATTTGTATCAAAACTAAAACTTCGAACACAAATTTATTTATTTTTTCACTAGATTGATTCATGGTTTGAATTCCATGTTTATAGTTGGGAGCATGTAGTTCAGAAGAAGCTGCGAAATGGATTCGTTCTTTTCAGGAAGCTGCTGTGAAGGTTCTAAACTCTCTGCCTTAAATTAGTAGAAGGGTTTGTTTCATGATAAGAAACTTATTTTCGTTGTATGTTTTTCAGGAGAATCCAAATCAAGCTAAGAATTTTGTGGCTTATCACAATAGACGGCGTTCATCTTTGCGGTATATCAACTGATTTTCAATATTGAATTTGAATCCTTGCACTTTTTCCTTGTTCTTTTTATTCGTCTGCTTAATGTGTAAAGCATTGTTGAAACAGATATGGAGGAACAAAAAGCATAGATTGGAAATACTCTAATTTGAGTTATAACTCATGTGCATACTCTGAAGTCATGACCACTGATGTTATTGCGCCTTCTCCGTGGAAGATCTTTGGCTGTCAAAATGGTGAACCTTTAGCACCTACCTAGATTTGTAATAAGTACTACCCTAATATAAAGCTAGTGGCTTAATGTGTATGTGATAGTCGAATTTTTTTTTTTTGTGCAGGGCTAAGGATGTTCAAAGAAGCCAAATGTTGGGATTCACACGGAAGGGTAAGTTGCTAATAACTTAGTAACGTTTTGTTTTTGTACTAGGATCATCTTGTTTTTTTGAAGTGAAAATTGTTGTTGGTATTATTCATTTAGCAACGGAGAGGTGATCACCCCGCAATAATGGCAGTTGGCGTGGTTGATGGAACTTCAGAGGCTATTTTCAATACTCTAATGTCTCTTGATCCCTCAAGAACCGAGTAAGTCGTCCAAATCAATCACTTTATGTTTCTATTTAGACCAAATACAATAAAAACGAGTACTAATGAATGAAGTTTGCAGATGGGACTTTTGTATAAGCCAAGGCAGTGTGGTCGATCACCTAGATGGTCATACAGATATCATTCACCTGGAATTGTACAACGATTGGCTACCTTGGTACGTGCTAAATCACATATAATTCACACAATAAACATGTTATTATAACTAGTAATTTTCATATCAATGTAATCTCATCATATATGTGTAGGGGTATGAAACCAAGAGATTTATTGTTACGAAGATACTGGAGAAGAGAGGACGATGGCACATACGGTACAATTACCACTATAGTTATGCTTATGATTATGAACTCATGCTTCATTCATCTGTTAACTCTTTTTTCTTCTTTTTGCTTTGATTGTGTAATAAGCAGTGTTATTATATCATTCCGTGTGTCATTCCAAGTGCGCACCCAAGACAGGCTATGTTCGAGCTTCCCTTAAAAGTAATGCATTCTTTAAATTTTATGTACATTATTCTTTATTTTTTTAACTTCATTTTAACTTAATTTTATTTCTGTATAATAACGTCTAGCAGGTGGAGGATTTGTGGTGACTCCTGTTAACAAAGGAACTCAATCAGTTGTAAGACATATGCTTGCTGTTGACTGGAGATTATGGAAACTAGATTTGCGACCTTCAACTGCTAGATCCATAACCATCCGTATGCTTGAGAGAATTGCAGGTATCTATCTATTTTGAGAAAAGTATTTTATGATCATGTGCGCGATTTTTACTATTAGTTACTTTATGATAAAGTTACTCTATGTAGTTTAGTCACAAATTTTTATGCATATATATGAATACGATACTATATGTGAGTTTTTACAATGATTTTTGTTTGCAGCACTAAGAGAATTGTATCGAACCAAAGCAGGAAACTGCTCATCTGAGTCTCTTGTAATGACAAAAGATATTGGGTTGCCAATTACTACTGTAAAGGAGGATGTTAAGATTAAAGTTCCCGAAGAGAATCATAGGCCGATTGATGAACTTGTGGAAATGCCAGATGAAGTGGACGACAGAGAAATTCGCGGCCGAACCAGTTTAATGGGATTGAATGATTCTGATGAGTTCTTTGATGTTCCTGAATCAACAGAATACGATCACTTTGATAATCAAAGGCACTCGGACTTGTCTTCAGAACAACTCGGCGTGCCCCAACCCAAACTATCATCAGCTGCTGGTTTGGTCAAAAAGTTACATGATCTTGCAAGTTAGTTTTAATCAAAGTATCTGTTTTTAAATGATTTTACGAGAACTTAGTTTAATTTTTAAACATATATGTTGCAGTTCAAAAGAAGGGTTACATCGACTTGCAAGAGGCAGCTAGGGAGGAAAATGCATCATGCTCTTATGGATTCACTCTTTCAAAAGATCCAAAATGTACTTTACCTTGCACTTGGGCTGATTCTGATCCGTCTTTGTTTTTGGTTCGAGGTGAAACTTATTTACAAGACCATACAAAGGTCAAGGCAACCAACACCTTGATGCAATTGGTTGGTGCAGATTGGCTCCGGTGTGACAAACGAGAAGACGATTTGAGTAGTCGTCCCGGTTCCATAGTCCAGGTATTTTCTTTTTCCTTTCATTTGTGCTTGAATTATTAGATAGTCAAAATATTACTGCTAGTAATTTCTTACGATACGCGCTTTCCATTTGGATTGATTCAGAAATATGCAGCAAAAGGTGGTCCAGAATTCTTTTTCGTTATCAACATACAAGTAAGTTTGAACTCACATCATGATTATTTATTATATTCATCATCACCTTTAAGTATCATATTGTTAATTTACTTTATCATACTCTTATCATGAATCAGATGCCAGGAAGTCCCTTGTATAACATTGCAGTCTATTACATGATGAAAACTCCTTTAGAAGACAATCCTTTACTGAAAAGCTTTGTTGAAGGAGATGATACTTACAGAAACTCAAGATTTAAGCTCATACCATATATTTCTAAGGTTAATTACATCTATAAGATTTCTAAAGTTGTGGCATATATCAAGATGATTGATTATCGATCTAATGATTTGCATTCCGTTGCGATTTTCTTCTCTTAGGGATCATGGATAGTCAAGCAAAGTGTTGGGAAGAAAGCATGTTTAATTGGACAAGCGCTAGAAATAAATTACATTCGCGGCAAGAACTATCTCGAGGTTACTAAGATCGCAAAATCTTTGTAATCCTTACAGCAATAGTGTTTTAATTCATTTATTTCATATGCTAATATTTAAATCGTGTGAATCGTGTTATTAGCTTGACATCGATGTTGGATCTTCAACGGTTGCAAGAGGAGTGGCAAGCCTAGTTCTTGGATACCTGAACAATTTGGTCGTAGAAATTGCATTTTTGATACAGGTAACGATAATTAGTTGTGATTTTGCGACGGCGTAAAACTTTTTATACTGATAATGTATCATGTGCAGGGTAACACACCAGACGAGCTTCCTGAAGTCCTCATCGGAACATGTCGACTCAATCATATGGATGCAACCAAAGCAATCGCAGTGAATACTTAAACTTCTAACTTGAAATATCTTCATATCTTTGAGGAGCAGAAGCTGAGGCTGTCTCCCTATAGTATTAACAACAGCAAAAAGAAGGAAAAAGTCAAAGTAAATGATGAAAAGTGGTAAATGTTGCTAAAGAACTTGTTGCCCTGCATGTTTCCTGATATTGGTGTAGTAGGAGTTTTTCCTGTGAGATTTTGTTGAGGCTAATCACATCGCAAAGAAAGTTATTATTTAATTGTATCTATTTTATGATATGCTGAACAATAACCTATTCTTTTGTTGATTTCATGCATTGAATATGCAAAACTGAAATAGATAAAGCTACATGAGCCCGATTTAAATTATCTTGGAACATACACAAGCTCTAGTGGTGAATCAATAGAGAATATGTGTTAATTGGAGAAGATAGAAAGAAAAGATAAGAGAAATAAAAGAGAGAGTAATTGAGGTTGAGGAAAAAGAATTTCATTATTTAAATATTACAACATATGAGGTACAAGGCAATACAAAATAATTGGGAAACAAAACAACTTAAAAAATAAGTCAAAAATCCAAAAATACGAGTTCGTAACCGGTTACGCCTATGATAATTACAAAAGACAAAATTGAATTGGCTTGTTGTAATCGGTTATGCTAAATCCTGTAATCGGTTACCAATCCGTAAAATCCAAATTCCAATTTCTATAAGTGCTTATTTTTTAAATTGAAACCTCCAAAAAGCTCTCAGAAGCTTATACCATGCAATTGATTATTATATACTTCTAATACACCACCTTAATTTTAAATGTTTCAAATTTTTCATGCTCAGGTTCATCTTCAACTTCTTGAACACATCATTTTTGACTCCCTTTCTCAATAAATTTGTAACTTGTTCTTCGCTTCGACAGTATCCCAATCTCAGTTTGCCTTCACTCACTAGATCATTTAAATAATGAAACTTCATCTCAATATGCTTGCTCCTCCCATGTGCAATGAAATTCTTAGCAAGGCTAATGACTGAAACATTATCAATCAAGAGTGTGACAACTTCTCCTACATTGCTGCCCAGCTCCTCCAACAGATTCATAAGCCACACGATTTGACACACACATAACGACATGACAATATACTCGGCCTCACAAGAAGAGAGTGAAACCATCGATTCCTTTATAGAATACCAAGAGATTGATGCTCTTCTGAACATAAAGATATAATCAGTCGTAGACTTTCGATCATCTTTATCTCCACACCAATTGAAATCAGTATAATCTAGCAAATCACATTTTCTACCCGTACTGCTGTAGAAAAGAGAATTCTACAGTCAAGAGTTTCTTTGACGTATCTTAGGATCCTCTTAACTACTCCAAGTGAGATACTTTCGGTCTCTCTATGAATCTACTCGCAATACTGACACTAAACGCCAAACTTGCCTGCGTATTGCACAAGTAACGTAATGATCTAATCATTCTCCTATAATGAGTAGGATCCACATTCTGCTCCTCTTCACTTTTGGACAACTGTAATCTTGCTTCAGCAGGTGTATTAGAACCATTACAATGCTCCATATCACACCTCTTCAATATCTCAAAGTGCATACTTCCTTTGGTGCATGAGCAGACCCATTTTTTACTTGTGGAATTGTTAGCTCCTAAATTCGACACCCACAATGTATTGGTCTTATTGGCTAAAAATAGATTGAAGAAATTTAAAGTTACCAACACTTCGACCAGAAGAACCTAAAACACTTAGAGAACTTTCTAAGTTAAAGTTGGTCTTCGACCAAGAAATTTTTATAGTCTTCGATCGAGAGGATCCTGCGGTCTTTGATTGAAAGATCCTTGTATCAGTAAGCAAGTGAATTTTGAATCTGAAGAAAGGAGAGAAAGGTAGTTCACTTGGAAGTTGAGGAAAGCAACGTGGCATGAAGATAGAAGTAGGAGCACATGCAGAGGACACTTGTCCTTATCCTGGAACGAGGCAACTGTTCGACGGTTACTTAGTTTTAGTATAAATATAGGAATTTCATGTAGATTTCCATGTGTTCAACTTATTAGTACAAGTCACTCAATCATATCCGAGTACCCGCTGTGAGAGAGAAAATATTGAGAATGTACGTTTGAAACACCATCTTTTATTTCAATCAAAGTCTTTACAATTCCTTTACATTCCTTGCCATTTACATTCCTGTGCAAGCTTTATCATTACTGCAAATTTACTTTATTCTGCCTTTTACTTGCACTTTTTAGCATTTTTCAACCTTTATCCTTGAACTCTTCTCAACCCTTTCTACTTACCTTTTACTTTCACTTTTATCAAGTTTTTTTCCTGCACCTTGTCTTTGCTCTTACTTTCCCTCTCAACCCTTTTCACTTAAACTCACTTGCTTATATAAAAAACCCAGCATATGTCCTAGGATCAATCTGATCGATCCTACAAGTCACCAAAATAACCCTTTTTGGAAGATCAGCGGTTGTTTACCAATTTTCACGGTAAACAAATTGGCACACCTGGTGGGACGTTGCTAAAGTCTTTTATTTTTTTATAAACTTTGATAAAAATAGTTTTTATCATAAATGTTTCAAGTAATTTCTTTTCTTTCAAAGATTGTTGTATGTTATTAAGAAGTGGCAAAACAACCACAAAAGAATACATACATAAGAAAAGAAATAGTACAATGGCTAATCAGCCTAGTGGAGAAATACCTCAGCCAATTACTAGAAATGGAACCACGGTTATATCCACAATTAGTGAACCTTTTCCATCAACAGTTGGTTCGACACCACTAATAACGGTCGCGCAAACAGGATCAATACTTTCTTATGTAGGTCCTAGGGGTCCACCAGGAACACCTCCATCAAGGGGAACTCCAGGAGTTCGACCCTATATCCCTCCAGGATTTTCGACAGCATGGATGGGTCGAGACCAGCCCTATGGCATGCCAACTACTGAAATGACAAGCCTTATGAATGTTGCGTCCATATTTTTAGACCCTTTAGTGAGTGCATCTTCGTCATTGCAGGGATCTGGAACTGGTATGACAAATTTGGGTAGAAACCAATTCTTAGGAGGAACATCCCATACGATGCCAAACCTTACAAATGCTTCTACAGCAATTCTGAGGCAACAAATGGATGAAAGTAACCATGACATGATGTAAATGTTGGCACAAACTTTGAGTACAATGCTAAACCCTCTGATACAAAATACTACCCAGTTGAATCAACAAATGACAGCGCAAATGACGCGCATGGATGAATTTTTTGGGGTTCCCCAACCTATTCGGCAACCCCAAAGAGTTGATAAGAGGAAATCAAGGTGTAGTCTTAGAGGATGACATGACCATTAACCAAAACCCACAGCCAGTTGGAATGAACCATAAAGTGGAAATCAAACAACCTAGAGTCGAAATACCCAGGGTTATCCCACAAATCCCTAGAGCTGTCGAACAAGATATAGTAATGGTAAATAGGAACCAAAATGTTGATGAGGTAATACAGCAGGTTCGACACCATAACTATGCGGGAGATAATAACTTGACAGCCATGGTCGAAAGGATCATGGCACATAATGGAGTGAATATTGGCTTTCATAGGCCAAACTTTACATCTTCGTTATCAGATTATATCTTGCAATCAGAATTACCTCCTAGGTGGAAAGTTCCAAAGTTCACCAAGTTTTCAGGGGATACGACAGAGTCCACTATCGAACATGTAGCAAGGTATTTGATAGAAGCTGGGGAAATATCAAATAATGAGAATCTTAGGATTAAATATTTCCAAAGTTCCCTAACCAAAAATGCCTTCACTTGGTTTACCATATTCCCAACCAATTTGATCCATAATTAGAATCAGTTGGAGAAATTATTCAATGAACAATTCTATATGGGAAAAACCAAAATCAGTTTGAAAGAATTGGCTAGTGTGAAAAGGAGGTTCACTAAGCCAATAGATGAGTATCTGAACAGATTTCGACTGCTCAAAGTCAGATGCTTTACAAAATTGTCGGAACATGAGTTGATCGAAATGGCTGCAGGAGGTCTAGATTATTCTATTAGGAAGAAATTAGATACCCAATACGTGAGAGATATGGCCCAATTGGCCGATAGAGTTTGACAGGTATAACATCTTAAGGCTGAAAAAGTTAAAGCGAATAAAACTCATCGAAGAGAAAGGGTAGTGTATGTCGAAATGGATGATGCCGATCCACATACATCTAGTGATCCTATAATTGTCTAAGAGAGTGAGATTGATTTACCAGAATTAAAGCAAGGACCACCATATTCTTGCAAACTATTAACACCATAAAATGGGAAGAATCCTATTGAATCAGAGAAGAATAATGATAGGTTCCCAAAGAAAACATATAGTTTCGACGTCACAAAATATGACGAAATATTTGACTTATTAGTTAAAGATGGCCAGATGATAGTGCCCCTGGGGCGAAAATGCCTCCTTTAGATCAAAGGAAAAAGAGAGGTTTTTGTAAATATCATAATTTTTTGGGCCATAAAACCTCACAATGTTTCCTTTCCAGGGATCTCGTTCAAGGCGCAATCAAAGACGGAAGGCTTAAGTTTGTTGACAAACCACCCATGAGGATTGACGCAAACCCATTGCAAGCTGATGCCAACTGTGCTGAACCTTCAAGCATCAACATGGTCAAAGTCTCAGCAAACTTCATCAACAAACCCGTCTTTGACAGTTTCACTGAAGATGTTAGCAAAGAAGCTGTCGAAATGATACAGAAAAAGGCTACTAAAGGCCTAAACAAAGGGGCCACTAAAGGTTCCAATAAAGGAACTGCTGCAGGTTCCTACTTGGCTGCTATCACAGGTTCGACAGAAGGCCTGGAAGCCAAGATGCAAAAGCTGAATATAGCTGGTAAGAGTAATGTGCAAATCAACATGGTTGAAGTATATGAGCCTAAGATTTCAGAAGATGCCATCAGACAAGAGGAAATCAACAAAATTGCATTTTCTAAAGAAAATGAAAATCTGGCAGATTTTCTGCAAAGATGCCAGAAAAAGA